CATGCAGACAGACAGAGATGAACCGATCAAAACATGTAGACTTTTGCTTTTTTTAAAAAGGATTGTACTTTACCTTTAGTCAGTCATTGCAGCTGCCTTCCCTGCTTCACAACAGCTCACAAGCATCTTTCCAGAAAACACGAGGAAGCACATGGCCTGATGGCCCATTGTATGACTGCTCCATCCAGCCTCTAACAATCCCCCACTGCTGGACACGTAGCGTATTTCCAATGTCCCATCAGGATCAGTTATGCTAGAATAGGCTCCAGAAGGCGGGGAAGGTGGCGGGCTGGGGGCTGTCTGTCTTGTTCACTGTAGCATCCCAGCGCCTGGCACTGCAGCAGGGCGGGCTCCAGCGATGTTTGCTGGGTGAATGAATCAACACCGGCCAGAGAGAGCAGCCTCCCAGCTCACCGACCTGGGCCTCCCCAGCCCCGCAATCCTCCCCTCCCCTGACCACCCACCACCCCACCCCACCGGACTCCAGTCCTCTGCCTGTAGTTACACTGAGGTTCCCTAGGGCCACTCCAACAGCCCACTTGGGCTCTGCTTTCCTCCCTCCCGTTTTCTCTGCCACCCTAACCTCACCCTGATGTCTCCCCTGCCCACTCCACTTCTGCCTCCGTCCCCATTCCCTCAGAACTGCTCCCTCAGAACACACCCCAACATCAGCGCTGGCCAGCTGGCCTCAGGGCAGCAGGGGAAGTGCTGAGCACTCCCTCTGCTTCAGGAGTGGCTCCCAGCCTCCAGGCTGGGCGCCTGCCTCCTCTCCCCTCTCCCAGTTCTCCTGGGCGATCTGGCCCACTTCTGCGCCTCCATCATCTCTCCACAGGGAGGGCCCCTACCTACCACAGCCAATCACAGATACTTCCTGAGTGCCTGCTGTGTGTGGCACCCTCCTAGGGACAGCAGGAGATGGGATGGGATGGAGCAGCAGGGTGCTGAGGGTAGGGGGCGCATCTCAGCCCCCCACCAAAGAACCCCAAGTAAGAGAAGCTGTGTCTGCACAGTAAACAGCCCCCTACCACTCGGTCTTCCAACCAGGTGGCGACCCCCCACTGCCCCTAAAGATCCCAGAGCAGCTGCACAGACGCACACAGCCCCCAAAGCAGGGTGTACCCAGTGCTCAGAGCAGGGACAGGCAGGCAGCCCCATGAGCACATCCAGGACACCTGCCCTGGTCCAGGGGGCCAGGTGAGGACTCTCAGAGGAAGTGAGGCCTCAGCTGAGACTTGAACAATGATCAGGGGTTCCCAGTGGGGAAAAGGGTTCTGCGGAAAGGGCCAAACCCTAACTATTCGTTGGCCCAAGGAGTCCAAGGAACAGAGAGGAGGCCAGGGCCGCTTGAACCCAGAGAGCAGAGGGTGGGAAGGGAGACTGAGGCTGGAACCCTGGCAGGGCCAGGGTTGGTGGGGGTGGTCCGGAAGTCCCTGCAGCCCAGGCTCCCCTTCCCCATTAAGGACTGGGGCTCAGCAGCCCTGCCAGCCTCCTGATCAGCTAAGGCCGACATGTCTACCTAACAGAGCTCCTCCAAACCAGCACTCCTTCCCACCCAGGCCCGCTCCTTCCCCCCTGGGTCCTCCTAGGCACAGAAGGGGGTCCTAGGGTCATCAAGAACACCTCCTTCTTCCTCAGCACCAAACTCCACCTCAGTCTCCCCCTTCCTAGCCTAGGGTCGCTCTCTGCCCTTCACATGGCCTCCAACATCTGCCTGGGCCAAGGCACCAGCCCTGGTCCTGGGACCCAGCTTCCAACCCAGCACCCAAACAGCTGCCCTGAGTTCCCCAAATCCCATCCGGGCAATCTGGGTCTCTCTCTCCCCGTCCCCACCCCACAGAGACGCCCCCTCCCTGGTCACTGCTTCTACGTTTACCAGCGCCTGCTGTGTGCCAGTCTCTGCTGGGACTGGGATCCAGCAGCAAGCTGGTCCCTGTCCTCCCGTGGCTCATCTTGTGGCGGACAAGGCAGACGTTAAATGCACACATTTCACAGAGACTTAAATGCAGTTGTGTCTCGTGTCGCGGGGATGCGCAGAGGTCACTTAGAGCCCTCCATGGGCCTGCCCCCTCCCGCCTTTCCCGCACCGCCTCCTGCGACCCAATCTCCACACCTCCGCTCACAGCAGACCCACCCAATGCCCTTCATCTGTGCCTATTTTCAAGTGCCAGCTCCTTCATGTGGCCTTCCCCGGGCTCCCCAGTGGGTCCCTGGTCCCCCTTCCACAGCTGGTCCACTAGCTCTGTTCCTTCCACAGAGCTAGTTGGAAGTTTCTTGAAGGCAGGACCCTCACCTTTTCATCTCTGCATCCCCCAAATGCCTTGTACGGAGCATGTGCTTAACGCCTGTTGGATTCACAAAAAACATGTTGCCCAACTCTTGGGTGCAAGTCTTGGGCGCAAGCCTCCCCTTTGTTCTTCCAGCCTAACTCCTGCCCAGGCTCTTCCTCCTAGAAAAGGCCTCTTGGCTCTTACCTCCCATGAGCAGGGCCCGACTTCAGCCCTTTGAGCCAGGAAGGAACACAGGAGCGCAACTTGTTCTCTGGGGCCTCTCTTGCCCAGGATGGTGGGAAGCTGACACCCCCACCCCTCCATCTCTGGGGCCAGCCCCACTCTCAGATTTCCCTCTGGACCCACCGACCCTCAGGGGGTGGTGACAGCAGCGCAGCCATCCTTCACCGAGCACAGCCTGGGCAGAAGGCATGGACCCTTGCCACGTTCCATCTCCCAGGTCCTGCATGGGCTTCCCACCTGCCCCAGAGCCCTTGCCCACAGCCTCAGTGTGCCACTGCCCGCCCTGGACCATTCCACCACGCCCTCCACTCCGCACCTCCTCCTGCTTCTCCCCACCCAACGGCAGCTGGTGGCCTTGCCTAACATTTCGCTGCAGAAGGAAATCCAGTACAGCCGGTCTGACGGACGCCAAGGGTCTGCCTCCCCTCTGTAAGAATGGACAAGCAGCCTGACGCCTTCTCCAAGACCCACTTCCATCAGTTCTCCCCTCTCGCCTCCATCGCCTTCTCCCCTCTCCTGGGTTATTCCCAGCCACAGCGTACAACCCAGCCTAAGCATCACCCCTTCCAAAGCCTTCCCTGACCTCAAGCCCTGCCCACTCTCCCGGTCTCTGCTCCCTTTACAGCAGAGCTCCTAAAGGGGGAACTGAGGTGTTGGCAAAGAGCGAGGCTCAGCAACAGGACCACCCAGCTCCACATTCCTCCCTCCAGGCGGGGGGCGTGGACAGGGGACCTCTGTGCTTCCATATAGAAGCATATGGCTTCCTTACCTGCACCTCCACATTCTGTTCCCCTTGCCTCCCCAACCATCCCACTGAAGCAGCCCTTAGCAAGGACACAAAGCCCCGTCCTCTGTCCTTAGTCACATGTCCAACAGGTCACCATCACCTCCAGGGCCCTGACCTTAGGGTCTCCCACAGCCCCCTCACGGCGCCACCCCACGGGCTCACCTGCTGGTCTGCCCAGAGACAGCCCCTTCTCTCCTCCACCCCGACTCCCCGACTCTTCCCAGGGTGAGCTGAGGGAGCACGGCTGGGGCTCTGCCCACTCCACACCTCCTCTTGGAAGCTAAGTGGCATCTCCCACTCCCAACAGCAAACCCTCTTCCCCCTCGGCCCTATCTCAGCAAGTGGCACCAAGCTACACGTGCCAAGCACTGCGGAGTGTTCTTGGCCGCTCTCTTCCCTCTTATATCTTCCTCCTCTTGGCAATACCTCTGAACACAGCTTACACCAGGCCATTCTCACCACCTTCACTCTGAACCCCAACCCAGGCCTCCAGCCTTGCAGTGCGCCTCCCCCCAACATCCTAGGCCCATGCCGCAGACCACACCAAGGCTAGACTCCAAAGCCCTCAGCAGAGCTCAGAAGCCCCCCACCCCCTCCCCGCCCTTCCCCAGCAGCTCCAGCTCCACCACCCCAGCTGCGCCCCACCCCACCTGCCCTCACCAGCGGCTCTCCCTATGGCTTCCCCTCCTCTTTGAGGTCTCAGCTCGAGTCTTTCCTGACCCTTGGAGCTCAAGCAAACCCCTCTCGCCGACCCTCTATAATTGACAGCTCGTTTTCTCCTTCGTAGTAATGCATCACCACCTAACATTCTGGTGTGTGGGGATTTACTGTTATCAACACTAAAATGAAGACTATGGGGTCACTATTTGTGACATAAATGAATCTCACAATCTGTGATCTCAGTATCATTATGCCCATTTTTCAGATCAGGAAGCTGAGTCTCACAGACAAAGTCAACTATCAGGGTCTCCTAGCTATGCAGCAATAGGCCCGACTCCAAAGGCAGGGCTCTTGGCCACCAGGCTCTCCCATGCCCTGTACAAGGCCTCCGAGGCTGGGAGAAAGGCAAAGAGTTCATGTTCTCAAAGACAAAGTTCTGTCTTCTAAAGACAGAAGCCAAGTCTCAGGCACAGCAGCCCGACAGAGACTCCCAACTCCAGGAGGACAGGGACACCGGGGTGGAGGAGCAAGAATAGAGGGTAGCCCCTTAAAGGCTGCAAGGGCATGTTTCAAAGCCCAGCCCAGTCCAACGGCTCCCCAGGCATTTGGGGCTGACCTACAGGCTCAGGAAGGCTGTCTCGATCAGGAATAGCCAGTGACCACAGGGCATTTGCTGTGTGCCAGGCCCTGTGCTGAGGACTCCACATCCCTCACTTGCTCTTGGCAATCACCCCGTGATTATCCCCATTTTATAGATAAAGAAGCTGAGGCTCAGAGAGATTCAGTAACTTACCTGAGACCTTGCTGCTGAGGGTGGAGACAACCAGGATTTGAACTGAGGTCTCAGCTTCAAGCCTGCTCAGCAACTATTACACAGTCAGGAGGGTGCCTTCCCGCTGCCCAGGAAAGGCTCAACCCGGACCCCAGCTGAAACAGCTCAAGCCCCAGACTCCATGGCCCAAGGGAAGGGGCCTTGGTGGGGGACAAGCTGTCATGTGGAGAGGGAACAAGCACATGGCACGAAAGGACACGCCTCACACAAGTGACAGGTGCAAAACAGAGGCTTTAATCTGAAGGGCAATAAAGGAGCCAGGGGCTGGAGGGCCCTGAGGGGACACAGGAAGGAGGGGCCAGGAAGGCGGTGGTCTGGGCCCGCGAGGGAGGCAGGCAGGCAATGGGCCTCTCCGAAGAAAACCATTTCTGTGACTCTTGCTGCTCCTGTCCCAGCCTCTACCCAGGCCATCAGCCCAGACCTGAAGGCCAAGCCCGTGAATTGCGCTTCTCGGGTGCTCCCCTTCCCAAAGGGTGTGTGGACTCAGATACGGGGAGGGCGCAGTGGAGATGGGCCAGCCTGGGCTTGAGCAGGGGAGAGACTGTGAGAGCCAGGCCTGGGAGCATCCCCTCTCCAGAAGAAAACTCTGGAACTTACTTGCATTGATGCTGCCAGCACCCTCAACCCCCCAAGTAGGCCTGCCTGGCCCAGCCCCTGCCCATCCTCAGAGCCAAAGTCTGGCCTTGAGGGGCCATCACTACCTCATCCTGGAACCCCAGCAGGCCACTTCTGGGAGGGGAGGACCAGAAAGTGGGCGGCTGTTTTCAGAGCCTTCCTGCAGCCCACTCACCCACCGCCCAGAGAGAGGGGCAGGGAAACAGGGCTAAGGGCCTTGGAGAAGCAAGCAGCAACGAGGCGGGGGCAGGAGCAGGAGCAGCTGGACATAAGAATGCCGAAAGGAATCCAGGTTCTCCACAACCACAACTGGCCTGTAGCCCACAACCTTACCCCTCCAGAGTTTTGGCCACCCACTCCCGGCCAGAGAAAGCTTTGGAAAGGCAGGCCTCACCCACTCCACTGGCGAGCAAGCCCTGCCAGGCCCTCCCAGGAGCCTGGCGCCTGCCCAAAGGGCAGCTTCTAGAGGCTACCCTTGAGCCAAAGGCCAAAGAACAGAAAAGCAAGGAGGAGGCACTGGACACAGGTGACCACAGGCCCAGGGGGCAGCCACGAGGAGGAGCTGGGAGGGTCACCGGCCAGAACAGCCAACGCTTTTCCCTTCCCAACCCCACCCCAGTCTGGCACCAGCCTCAGCGCCCAGCCCTCGGGACACCCACTCACCCACCCAAACATGGCTTAGGACGTTGACCCACCCCGTGGGGAGCATCCGCTCCAACCCCTAGGAAGGCAACCTGGGAGGAAAAGCAAGGGCAGCGGCACGGTACCTCCCCCCCCCGCTGGGGCCCAGGACAGCCTGGGTCTCGAATGGGACTGAACAGGGAGGAGGAGAGGGAGGCCAGGGTGGGAGCGGGGCCCTCTCTTCTCACTGGTCCACCACAGGGGAAGTCAGGACACTGGCCACACTTTGGTCGCTTCTTCCAACTTGGGCCCTTCAGCCTTATGCTATGAGCCTCCCTCCACCTCACGCTCGCCACTCATCCCAGTAAACAGCCTCTCATCAAACAGAAAGAACAGAGGGAAAGGGTGGGGAGGGGGCCGCAGCTGCGGTGGGGGAGGCAGGCACAGGAGCAGCCTGGACGGCTCGGGCTGCTCAGCCCCTCCTAGCACGACGTGACAGGATGGATGGGCAGCAGGCTCCCAAACTTGAAGTGCTGGATCACCGGGAACTTCTCCAGGCACTGCGGGGAAGGAGGGCGAGGAGCAGAGGTGAGAGCCGCGCTGCACCCCTGCCAAGGCCTGCTCGGCCTGGGCCCCCAAGAGACCCCAGGACGACTCCAGAGACCAGTTCCAGGAGCTGTCCAGCCAGGGCCCGGGAAGCGGCCCAGTCTCAGAGCGGCCCCCAGGCTTTTTGGGAAGGGCAAAGCTTCCACCACCCCCTCCCATGCAAAGACCTCCACTCCAAGACAATCAGGCCCACCAAATAATGAGAATGAGAGTGGGAGAGGGAGAGGGAGAGGGAGAGAAGGTCGCCCGACCCCACAAGGCAGATGCTAAGAAGAAAGGCAGCCTAGTGACACCACTCAGCCCGGAGGGACAGGCTGGGACTAGAGGTGCAAAGAGCCCTCCAGACCACTGGGGACCCCCAGACCAGGTCCCGGAGCTGGAGAAGACATGAGGGGACACTGGGACACAAGCATAAGAAGGGTCCAAGGACCATTTTTTCCAGTTTTCAGTTCTCTAGACTGAAAAAGGCATCTTGGCACTTCAGATGAGACAATAAGAACCAGCTGACAGCCCCCACCCCCAAGGCAATTCTCAGCAGCCCCAGGAGCAAGCGCGTGGGGCAGAGAATAAGAGCACTGCATGGGGCGGGGTACCGTGCAGGGGGAGGGTGCTCCACCCTGAGCCCAGCCGGCCAGGGCCTCAGCCCCAGGGCTCAGGCAGAGGAGATGGAGAGAGGCAGGGCCGGCCAAGAAGCTAGCCTGGCCCATAGGCAGCAGGACCCCAGGCCCACACCCCTCTGCCCTACGATCAGGGCACTACTTCCACAGCACACAGGTCCAGGAAGGGAAGGGGGGCCCAGCTGCCAGCCTCCCTGCATCAGCCCTGCTGGGCCTACCTGCCAGCCTGCTAGGCCCTGGACACTAGCAAGCTCTCACAGGCAGCAGCCCCGGGCATGTGAGGATCTGCCTCCTTTCATACCTTTGGCCACAGAGACAACCAGAACGTACACCTCCTGGCTGGGGTGGAACAACACTTATGGCCTCAGAGAGGGTGAGGGTCCCATTCTATGACTGTGCTCTCCTCCAACTAACTTAGAGGAACAAAGGCACGCCGGGGCTGGCCCAGGTTTCCTCATCTCAACAACCAGCTGCAGAAATGAGGTCTCTGCCAGCCGTGTGTGCGTGCGTGTGTGCGTGTGTGTGTCAGGGTGGGGTGGTCCACAAGGACTGAAGAGGGGTCAGGAGGTGAGCAGGAAGGGAAATCTTTTTGTATGATGGAAGGATGGGGAACTACGCTCTGTGTGGGAGCAGAGCTCCAGGCCACAGCCAGACTCCTGGGCCTGGGGCAGAGAAAGTGGGGAGCAGGCAGCCGGGGTGCTCCCTAGTGGGGGAGGAACAGCAGCCATTCCAGGCCAGAGGCAAAGGCAGCTGCCATTGTGCTTATGTCATGGAGGAAGTGGTGGGAGTTCGTTGAAGGGAGGGCCCCCCCAGGGCCCAGGAATTCCAGAAAGGGTCAAAGGTCAACCTGCTTCTAGCTCCCAGGCCTGAGAAGCTGCAAAGGCAAGAGGCTTAGGGGGAGGGGGAGGGGACCCAGGACAAGCTTGCTTCTCCAGGGCCACAGGAGAGGTGAGGAGATGGGCTAAAGGCAAGAGGCTGCTTGGGGCAAAGGGACTGCGGGGCTCCAGGGCAACAGCAGAGGGAGCCTCCCACCAGACCTTTCTCCCCTGGGGACCGACTTGTGCACTGGGCAAAGCAACAGCTTCAACCTGTCCACATCCAGGCCTTCCAGCTGGAGGCCCTTCCAGGTCCCACTGACTCAGGGGGAAGGGGCTCTCGAGGCCCTGACAAGCCCTTGTGAAGGGAGTGCCTCCACAGTGACAGCCCTTAGGAAAGACAGGCCCCAACACCCATGAGGGCCCCAGGAAGCGTTTGGCTCTTCAGTTCAGAAAAGCCGAGACAGGCAGTTCATCCCAAATCCTGATGCCAGGCCTGATCAGGCCTCTGGGGCAGCTCAGGGGACAAACTACCCTCCAGCAGCCAACTCTGGCAGGTGGCTCTGGACTTCAGGACTGGTGGGCCTCAAAGGTCCTCCCCAAGGACCAAGAACTGGTCTGGAAAAGCGAGTCATTTCCTTGCCTTTCTCTGTGCAGGGAGAGTGTGATCCCATGACCCTCAGGAACCAAAGACTAAGGGCTACCTGCTAGCAACTTACAAATGAGTGCCGAACATCACAGAAACAGGTCAGCGAGATCCAGCGCTGTCCTACAAAGCAGTCTGGCCGCCACACCACGCTGGGCAGACAGCAAGCTCGCGCTGCACACCCAGAGCTGGAATTTCCCGTTTCCAGGAAGGCACTGTGTTATCTGCTCGAGCTCCCTCGGGCTGGTCCCGAGCTGACCTTCTCGTGTTCCGCAGCCGTAGAAATACTGACAACTGTCACCCCATGGACTATCTTGTTTGTGCTGCACCATCACCATCTCTAACCTTAATCTGCTCCTCCCTCATCTCCATCAGCCAGAGTTCTCTTGCCTCTGGAAGGGGCAGGTAGGGAAGGGAGGCAGGGTCTCCTGTTCTGGCTTTATGAGCCTGGGTCAAGATAAGTTTAGTCGCTCAAGTAAGAGCCTGCAGGAAGGACAGGATTTAAGATTCTGAGCAGGAAAGGCACCCAAGAGTCCTGCTTGTGACACAGAGGGGGAGGGGGTGGGAGGCTGGAGGGGGCTGCGTGCCCCTCCATGCTGCACATGCCCCAGCAGTGGGGAGTTCCCCCTCAGCACCCACTGTGGGACTGGGGGGGCAAGGGGTGTCAAGAAAAACAGATCAGCCAGGGCAGCAGTGACCTGGGTGCTCTCCAGCAGGAGAGGCCAGCGAGGAGGGCCGCGGCCCAGCCCGGAAGGAGCCAGCACAGCCCCAGCTAAACCGCCTCTTAGATTAGAGAGGTATGTGGGTTGGAACCTAAACACAGGATGTGAAGTCCAGAGGAAGGGGACCGGAGGGGGAGGGGGAGGAATGGAGATAGAGGGCCAGGCCGGGTCAGTTCTAGCGCTTTTAACCCCTTCAGGGCCATGCAGAGGGATCCAGGCCCATTTGAAGTGTCTGTACCACCAAACACACCCAGGCCCCTGCTCCCTTTCGTCCCTGCCCCCTCACCTCTGTCAGAGAGAATTCTGGGTGTAGAGGCCAGCCCAGAGAACCTCCCCCTCCATCCCTCCATGGAAGAGGGATGGCCAAGGGTCAAGAGATGGGCATCTTCAGGGTGATACCTGAGACCACCAGCCTGCGGGCGAAAAGAGGGGACTTTGGGGCCTTCTGCTCCAGGTGAGACACTCCACACTCAGGCCCTTCCCTGGCCAAGGTCAAGCAGTTCCAGGACTAATCTGCCCAAGATGTGGACGGAGCGAGCGGAAAGGACAGGGTGGGAAGAAATGTCTCCTCCCCAGTTGACAGAGAAAAAGCCACCTCCTTGGCTGGGAGAAGGGTGCCTGCAAGGAGGACCAGGAGAGAGGGCAGGAGCCGCCCTCAGGAGCCGGTGGCCGCCTCCCAGCAGAGGGAGCTCCGGAATCGCCACCTCTCCCTGCATTTCTGATTTGAGAGCAGGAAGGACCACCTGAAGTGGTCCTTAAAAGTGCCAGCTCCCGGCCCCCTCAACACCTCCCACTTGCCCAGGGATCAAACGCACCAAAGTTTGAGAAACACCACTTTGGATGATGCCTCCAAAAGATAAAACCCTTTCCCAAGCATGTCTTTGTTTTCATGTCCCCACAGGAGACAGAGCGGGCCTCCAGTCACTTGACAAGTGGAAACAGACCCCTGAGCAGCAGGGTCTTGCCTCAGCCACGGGGCAGAGCTGGGCCTCAGTCCAGTGCTTTTTTCACTGCCCATCCCACAGGCAGAGATTCTGAGGCTTCAAGTGTCAGAGGCGCTGGCCCAGGACTCAGAGCAAAGCAGCAGAGTGGGGCTGGGGGAGCAGAAGCCCAGGACCAAAAGTGCCCACCAACCCCCACTCACCTCAGCCTTATACATGCGGATGAGACCCTGGTTCACTTTGGACCAGGAGGGGACAGCACTGATGTTCCACAGCTGGTTGGAGTGCTCTGCAAAGGGGCCTGTCTTCATCTGGAAAAGAGAATCCACAAGCTGGAGAGGTGAGCCGCCTGGGAGCCCAAGTTATGCTTCCCTGCAGCAAGGTCATGCGGGCATCCACACACACAGGCACACACACACTCATGGGGACCAGGCCGCAGATGCAAGCGTGTACACACACACGTACACACACGCACTCCTGGGGACCAGGCATTTGCCTGTGGGGCTCACATGCACGCACACACACAAGTTCCAGGGACAGGATCCCTTCTAGGCAGAGCTAGAAGAGTCGAGGGGTCAGTCTTGGGGAGGGCCCAGGTGGGTAAGACCAAACCCAGGCATCTGACCGTCCTCTCCTGGCAGGCTGAGGGAGGAAGGAAAAGAGGGGCCAGAGGGCACCTGCAGCAGATTTGGGAGGAAGGTCTGTTGAGAAAGCCAGCCTGACCTGGCGGGGAAGTGCAGACGGAATGGCAACAGGAGCAAGGGACAGGCAGGAGCAAGGACAGCTCCATTCCTGGTCCCTGTTCTTAGAAGAGAGAAATTCTGCAGCAAGCCCAGTGGAGCTCCCATGGTATCAGAAACCACCGCACTGAGCCAAGGGGGGCTTTGTGCCTGAGTGCACCCCTCGGACAGCACAAGGCCAGCACATCTGTATTTATTAACAAGCAGTTCACAATCCCCCTCAACATTGCCTCCTCCCCGGCCGATAAGCAGCACTAGTGCTGGGGAAATGGGGCTCCAGGCTTCAGAAGAGTTGGAAAAGCAAAGAAGCTGAGCTGGCGAGAAAGCAAACTTGGACCCTGAATGGGTGGAAGGTTCCAGAAGAGGCTGTGCGTGGAGGTGGGGCTCGTGGAGAGTTGTTCCAGGGAGAAAGGATGGGCCCCAAGCGGGCCTCTCTCCGCATTGGGCGTCATAAGCATAAAGGCCCAGGAGCACAAACTCCCCACCCACCAGCTGTGGCCTTGCCTGGTGACCCACTGCCACAGGCCTCACGCTTCTCTAGTAAGAACAACTCTTACAGAACTGTAAGATCAAAGTGGGAAGAGCTGCCATTTTATAGTTGTCATCTTCCTCCCCTGGCCCAAGTCCCCAAAAAGCCTGTCTCAACCCCCAAGTTCAGTATTAAGGACAATAGACCTCCTTCCTCCAGCAGTGAGGCCCAAGGTGCAAGACAGGTCCCCACAGGGCTTCTCCTGGACCCACCCCTTCACCCAGAATCTTTCCCCTCCTCTCTCTAAGGCTCCCTCCTCCAGGAAGGCAGCCAGGAGCCCCAAGCTTGCAGGGGCCTGGCCTTCATGAAGCTTTGTTCCCAAAGTCCCAATCAGGCTCCACCCTCCCGCCCCTCGCTCCGCCCCTTCCCCAGGCTCCAGCCCTCTCTTGCACACTTCCAGGCCCTGAGAAGCTCAGGGATCACTGCAGCTGTGGAACCAGTTTCCCTCTGGGCAGGCCCTGCGAGCAAACCACCTAGGAGGCACCCTGCTGGCTCCATCCCAGCCATCCCAGCCATCCCAGCCGTGGCTCCAGAGGCCTGCTCAGCAAGGGCCGGCAGAGGGACATGGGGAAACCATAAGGTTCTGCTTCCTGGGCCGGCCACCCCCACTAGGGCCATGGGATGGGGGGCACTAAAGGCCTCTCTGGCCTGCTGGCAGAGCCAGGGGCAGGCCTGAGCTCTGGCACCCCAGTCGCCCCCGGCCCCGTCCATGGAAAGGG